AGATGGAGTCTCCAGGACTGGAGAGGGGTGAAGCCAGCCCCTCTGCCCCTGCCCCAGGGCTGAGCCCCCCCATGCAGGAAGCTGGGTGGGGGGATCCTGCTAGGAAATGGCCACATGGAGGGTGTTTGGGAGGAGGAAGCGTGTGGGGGGGGGCACCCGCCAATGCCCCCTGGCAGACCATGCCCCGGCTCACCCCGCCCTGGCATCGCAGCTCTGTCCAGCCCGGGACTGGGGTCGCCCAGCTCGGACCCTCCCCAGCCAGCATCGCCGACGGGGCCCAAGCTGTGCCGGCAGGTGAGGGGGGAACAGAGGGAGCGGGATACAGGGCAGCCCCCACCACTCATGTGGTCTCGGTTAGGCCCTAGAGTGCCAGGGGTGAGGAAGAGGTCAGGATGGAGGTCCCCTCCCGGAGCTCACCAGGAAGCGCCCCTCCCTCATTAGCTCATTGTCCTGGGGGTGGGGTGTTGCAGGAGGTGTCCCACCCCCCCCACCACACACACCCTGCGCTTCCTGCCCAGCACGGAGCAAAGAGGAAATGCCACAGAGGATCCCTAGCTGTGGCCGGGCCAGGCCCTTCCGGCGGGGGGGCGGGCGGGAATGAGCTCACACAGCCCGCCTGGCTGGGGGGGGACGGGGGAGTCTACAGGGACAGCGTCTCCTTCCCTGCCCCTCCCCCAGCGTGGGTCTGAAGGGACCTTCTCCAGGCATCCTCGAGTCCCAGATGCCCCTGAGGAAGCCACTCAAGGCAGCGGGGCCTGCTGGGGCCGGGGACTCCCACACAGGGATGGGGGGAGCTGGAATGCAGCAGGTCCCTTCTCCCCCATCCTTGCAGGGCTGGGGGTCTCCCCATGCTCCCATCCCCCCCAGAGGCTGCAGGTATTTGCTCCCTGCCGGGACCCCGGGGACTGGGCAGGCGCTGGGAACCCGGAGGCCAGAGCCGGGACAGGGGCTGGGTTTCCTGTGCCTGGAAAGGGAGCCGGGGAATCCAGTTGGGGTGGGGGGAGCGATGCGAGAGTAGCACCCATGGGGCTGGGAGGGAAGCGCTAGGGCTCCCCAAGTGCCCCTCCCTGCCAGCTGGACTGGGTCCCGCCCGGGCCAGGGAGAGGCCCCCGCTGAGGGACAAGACCGGGGGGGGGTGTGCATCAGTTGGGGGGAGTAGGGGTGCCAGGGAATGCAGTCAGGGGCTGCTGGGGAGGAGGACAGAGTCCTTACCAGCTCTGTCTCGGCCATGCTGAGTGTCTGGTTGCCCTGCAGGATCCGGGGCGTCACGTGCCAATAATGTCCCAGGTCCTCACGCTGCCGCCTGGTGCTGCCGCCTGCACGGGGCCGAGAACAAAGCCATCACCCCGGGGGCCCCTCGTCACCCAGGCCTCGCCCCGCGCAGCACAGATCCATGCGCTCCTAGAGCACGGCACCCCTCCCCCAGATGGGCACATGGGGCCCCAGACCCCTCCCGGGGCTCCAGGCCGGGCAGGTGCACAGAGCGTGCCCTGGGATCCAGACCCCTGCCCTATTCCACATCTGACTCGGTGCCCCGGGAAGGATCAGGGGCAGGCTGGGAACCAGGACTCCTGGGTCCCATTCCCAGCTCTGAGCCTGGCACCCCGTGTGGCCTGGCGAGTGTCTCTGGCTCTTCACCCCCACACCGCAGGTGGGGCGCACACCCCTCTCTCGGCAAGCGCTCAGAGCAGGGCCCACACCCTGTTCCCGCCGTTCACTTGCGTGTGTCCCCTGCCCCGCGGAGAGACGGCGGCGCTTTCGGGATACGTAGGCCATGTCTACACTACAGCACGGCTGTACCACTGCCAGGGCCCGCTCCATGCCAGGGGACAGCTCTCCCACGGCTAATCAAACCACCCCTAACGAGCGGCGGTGGGAGAGCGTCTCCCGGGCTGACTTAGCGCTAACACACTGGCGTGTTTGTCGGGAGCAGAGGTGTGCTGGTGTAGACAAAGACTAGGGAACTGAGGACGTAAGTGGGGGGGAATCAGGGTGACTTGGGGGGCTCCCAGCATGGGGCTGTCTCCTGCCTGAACTGGGCAGGCGGTGCCGAGAGACCCACATGTGCATCAGGAAAGAACTGCCAAGGGTCCCACTCTGAGACAGCCTGGCCAAGGCCCAGCAGGCATGGGCAGCCCCCAGCCCCACAGGGCACCAGCCGCTGGGGCCACACAGAGAAAGCCCTTCACCTACGGCAGGGCCCATCCCTCCAAAGCTGCACCTGAAGCCAGGCGACCTGGCGGGGTCAGGGCGGGGCAATCAGCCGCCCCCGTCCTTCCTCCCAGCCCCTGGCCACACGCCAAGCCCCCGGGTGGAGCTGGAGGAGCCGGTCGGGGTAGGATGCCAGCACAGACCTTCCCGCCCTGCTAGGAGACCCACCTCCCCGATAATTGTAATGCTGGGTCTCCCGGGGGGGGGGGGCTAGGTAACCCCAGCTCCCTCCGTCCACCCCCCCCACCCCCCAACAGGCGTTCAGGCTTCACATCCATTCGGCTCTGCTGAGACACCAGCCGGGGGCTGGGCAGCAGATAGCGGGGG